ATAAAAATAATAAATAAAATATTTAACAAATGTTCTAAGGAAACAATTGTACATATCTTATAGAGTTTTAGAGTATAGCTAGCATAAGCAGTTAGATTTGGTACTTCAAATCAGTCCATTTGTTAGTTACTGTATTTCTCTCAAGTACAGTGTAGCACAGGGGCTTCTCTGGTACTGTACAGATTATGGAAGTTGTCATATAGGTGCTTAGTGACCAGTCCTTGGAGAGCTGCCAAGAGACCCTGTCTGAAAAAAAAAGAATAAGAAAAAGAAAAAAGAAAAAAAAAAGAAGACCGTGTCTCATCCAAAATAAAACAACAAAAACAAACCCCCAACCGGTTCTATTCTCTGAGGCCAAGGGTGGCCCAAGATTTTCAAGAGGCACCTTCCACCCGAGGATCAATTACACTCTCTGGATCCAGAGGGGAAAATATTGTTTCCACAGCTGAGGATGTAGCACATGGCAGAATGCTTGCCCACAAACAAACGATGCCGAGTTCAAGCCCCAGTACTGCCGATAGATAGAGGGAAAAAAAGAAAGAAAATTATGTTCCGGTGTCACAAGGTACAATCATCCATTTCCTGGTTCCCAGGCCGGGTGCAGCTGGTTGCTTTGCATATTCTGTAACTGACTAACCAGGTAGACATTCAGCAAGCTTGGTAGATAATTTGGTTCAATCCTTACCACAAAGCAGTTGCTAGTGGTGTGGGTTTTCACAGAGAAAGAGAAGCTTGAAAACCCCCTGGGCAGTGTAGCAATTGGAGTTAATATTTTGTATTAATCTTTGACCTCCAAGTGTCAAAGGAGCCTTGTGAGTGGGTTTGTGCTTTTGAAAAACCGGCTTAGCAGGTAGAAGAGCCTGCAGTTTACAAAGCCTTTTGCAATTTCTCATTTGCAAGAGAGGAGGCTGTTAATAAATAAAACCGTGGTGAAATCCACGTGGGGGCTGTGACTTGGCTGGGTCTCAATTGCTTTTGAATAGAAGCAATTCTGAAAATGTGATTCTTTTAAATGGAGAAATGAAATTTAAGATCAACTGCAAAGACCTCAATGAAACTGCTCTAGAATATTCCAGATAAGAGGAATACTCCAGATAAGGCACTACTCTGTGTGTGTGTGTGTGTGTGTGTGTGCGTGCGTGCGTGCGTGCATGTGTGTGTCCATGAAGACCAAAGGAATCAGATTCCCCTGGAGCTGAAATTAGGTGGTTGTGAACCACCTGACCTAGGTACTGGGAATCAAACTCAGTCCTCTGCAAGAGCAGTACATGCTCTTAACTGCTGAACCATTTTTCCAACCCCAGAATTTGCTTTTCAATTTTTGTCTCTTTTTCAATTTTATTTTTAAAATTTTATTAATTATTATTATTATTATTGTTATTATTATTGGTCTTTTTGAGACAAGGTCTCCCTGTAGCCCCTGCTGGCCTGGAACTCCCTATGTAGACCAGGCTGGCCTTGAACTCTCAAAGATCTGCCTGCTTCTGCCTCCCAAATGCTGGGATTAAAGGCGTGCGCCACCACGCCCAGCTTGTCTTTTATTTTTTGATTTTATGTGTATGCGTGTATTGCCTGCATGTAGGTAAGTGCATCTGTGTCGTGCAATGCCTTTGGAGGACAGAAGTGGCCTCCGATCCCCTGAAACTGAAGTTATGGCAGCTGTTAGCTGCCATGTGGATGCTGGGATTTGAATCCAGATCTTCTGCAAGAACAGCCAGTGTTCTTACCTGCTGAGCCGTCTCTCCAGCCCCATCAATTTTATTTTTTAAATTACACTTATTTATTTATTTTTGTGTGTATATGGATGGAGTGCTGGGAACACGCTATGGCAGACATGTGGAGGTCAGAGGACAGTCTGTGGGAGTTGGCTCTCTCCTTTCACCATGTGGATCTAGGGGATTGAACTTGGATCATTAGGCTTGGCAGCAAGTGCCTTTATGCACTGAGCCATCTTGCCAACCCTTTCTTCTCTCTCTCTCTCTCTCTTTTTTTTTTTTTTTTTTTTTTTTTTTTTTTAAAAAAAAAAAAAAAAAAAAAAAGAGGACGATAAATCTTTCACTGTGATATATCAAAATAA